AAAAAAGTAATTTTCTGTTTTGTCTTATTCTTGGATCAGGCTTTAAATGCTTAAGAAAAAATCATCAGGTTAAAATATTTAGTAAAATAGTTTTTATTTTATAATCAGCTATACGTTCCACTTTTGGACAATCATTAATACTTTTGACTCAGAGGGGTACTCATGGTAAGACAAAATGCCCAAAGGGGTACACATGTCAAAAAAGGTTGAGAAACACTTATAGCACCTCAATTGGTTAAAGTATGCAAAAATAAACCCTGATGTTGCAGCGTGACTTTCTCTGCAAAATGACAAAAAGCAACGACTTCTGTCCTTCTACTGATCCATTCACCTACTAACTGCACCATCATGTAGCTCCTATGCAGATATTACTGGTAAAAATATGTATTAACCTAAAGGTGGGGGTCCTTTTATAGACCCATAACTTGATAAAATGTTATATTTCTATTTCAGAATATTTAAACATTATTTCTAGCTCATACCAAGCACTGCTGAGATGGATTTATCTGTTATCTTCTGCTGCAGGAACAAAATCATTAAAGCAGTTAGGAAAAACATAACAGAAGGATCGAAAAGAAGACTTAACATTAAAATATTGTGATTTTCATCATAACAGGCATTTGTATTTATACTGCACTGGTTACCAGTCCAATTTAAAATCCTTAAAAATCCTTTTTTACGCTGTATGAATCCTGTTGATTCTTTTAAAAACCAACTGAAGATGCTGCTGTTCAAGCTTTGTATGTTTTCATTTCTTTTTAAAATGTTGATATAAATTGTATTCCACATTGTTTTATTTTATTAAATTTTTACTTTTTTTTTTTACTGTGAAGCACTTTGTGATTTTTATCAGTGAAAAATGCTATGCAAATAACTTTTACTTACTTTACTCACTTACTTCTTAATAAAAGTGGAAGGCTGATAGCAAGATAACAGACAATGATCTGTGTCCATCATGTCTTTTCCTTATAGGACAGGAACGCTATGGAAATATGACCCGTGTGTACTACAGAGAAGCAGTGGGGGCTCTTGTTGTCTTCGACATGACAAGGTTGTCTACGTTTCAGGCTGTCCTGAAGTGGAAGCGAGATCTGGACTCAAAAGTAAGTGTTGCAGAGCTGCTAAGCAACTGAGGAAGAAGACTTTTAAAAGGGGGCCAGATGAACAAGTCTAATGGTGCGTTCACACCAAATGCATTTAAAGCTTAAAAGCTAAAATTTAAATGCTTGGTCAAGTTGCTTTGAACCTTCAACGTTCTGGACGCTCGACGCTCTGGTTGTATAGCTGCTCTGTTCTGTAGCTACAAGTCAGACAGCAACTTGAATTAATTTGATTTGATGAGTTTGAAAAAATAGTTTAAGCTAAGACTGGGCGATATACAAAAAAAGTATCGATTAAAAATAATGCTTATTGACATTTATCTAAAAGATTCTAGATACTTCTCAGGTTCCATTCTCTGTCTATGTAATGAACTGAGAGGCGGAGGTACTGTAGGGCTTGGATGTACGACTTGACCAGAGGTCCGATTGCAGCTCATTTTGCACTGATTCCCTGCACTCATTGTTCAAATTAGGTAGCGCTGAGTTGAAAAACTTGTGGCCCAGAACTTCGTATCGAGGATGAAGGGCGGCGAGCAGCTGTTTGAAGCCAGGTTTTTTTTAACTCCTTATCCGTTCTTCTGGCTTTTTTTTTCACCTTTGGAGTTTAACCAGTGTCTATCTCCCCCATACAAATTCCTTGATCAGGTTGTCTGATTGGTTGACGCTCAGGCATCCAGCAGTCAATTTTCTGAACTCCAGCAACTAATGCTCGGACGCCAGAACACTGGGATGCATCGCTGCCGATGCTCAAAAGTGCAGCTGGACCTCTTGACGCCGTCCCCCATAGACTTTGGAATGTAAATCAGACGCAAAGAAGACCAAAATGCTTTCAGCCTCAACGCAGCATTAGACACATGGAATACAAATATATATGTTTAAATGGGATTGCTTTATTTCAAGGTTTCCAATATAATTGAAAACACATTTTTATACAAACAGACACAACAAAACAATGGAAATAAGCAGGCCTATAGAACAAATAAGAAAAACTAAAATCTCTACTGAATGTTGTATCTTGATACCTCATCCAAAATGGGACAGAGTTGTTATAACGATGCAAAAAAACAAATAATTATTTATTCACTTAAGCTCACTTGATATTTGTGATTTAATCCAAGAAAGTCTGTTTTTTTCTTATCACTAATAGTTATGTTGTTCACCTGAGGGAAGTAGAAACAAGTTTTTTTGAAAAAAGTAGTGATTAACATGTTCATGTTTAGGTGAACTCTCACCTTTACAGACAGATGACTATAAGATCCAAGGCTCAGTTCTGTGTTTTACATGGTGTTGTTTTAACTACGTCTCCTTCATTCCGTTAGGTCACTCTGAGTAATGGGAGGCCTGTTCCAACCGTTCTGCTCGCCAACAAGTGCGACCAGCGTCAGCATGGATTGTGCCCCAAACTTCCTAAACTAGAGAACTTCTCCCAGGATCACGGCTTTGTCGGCTGGTTTGAAACATCTGCAAAGGTGAGCTGCTTGTTTTCAGTCATGGTCAATTTTCTCTCACTTAGGGACACAGGGACATCCATCCATTCATCCATCCACCCATCCATCCATCCATCCATCCATCCATTCATTCATTCATTCATCCATTCATCCATCCATCCATCCATTCATTCATCCATTCATTCATCCATCCATCCATCCATCCATCCATCCATTCATCCATCCATCCATCCATCCATCCATCCATTCATTCATCCATTCATCCATCCATCCATCCACCCATCCATCCACCCCTGCATCCATCCATCCATCCATTCATCCATCCATCCATCCATCCATTCATTCATCCATTCATCCATCCATCCATCCATCCATTTATTCATCCATTCATCCATCCATCCATCCATCCATCCATCCATTCATTCATCCATTCATCCATCCATCCATCCATCCATTTATTCATCCATTCATCCATCCATCCATCCATCCATCCATCCATTCATTCATCCATCCATCATCCATCAT